AGTTTTTCTGATTGAATCTTAGCTAACTGGTAACTTAAAATGATAACTTGTGTTTAAAAGTAACACCTGTAGAATGTGCAAGAAAATATACAAAAAAACAGATCCTAACTCAACGCCATAATAATAATATAGTAGAGTAAAAATACAGGGAAATAATAATAAATGAACATTGAGTGCGAGATAAATAAATACTGTTGGTGTCATGAGAGCTCACAGTGCATAACGCCACGCTCACAAGGTAAGTGCCAAAGTCATGTCTAGCCATTTTGAAAAAAAAATGATTTTTAAAAACTCTTTCTTTCGAACAACCGACTCTGGGAAACGTTTGAATTTTGGTACACTCAACTGATTGTATATTAGGAGTATTCTTTTGTTCAAGCGAACTAGATCTATAATACTACCAAGCTGGCTCTGCTCTTCATTTCGGAGCCAAAAACTCCAAACCGGCCTACAAAAATTAACGTCTTGGGCAATTATCTTATGAGCGTAACAATAATGTTATCGGACAAGTTTTACTGATGGCAATTACAAGAAAACTTGTAAAATTTGTCAGCCTCTGTCGATGCGTATCGAGAATCGGCGTCTGTGGTGTAGCGATTCGGTACTCCGCCGTTGCACGCAAAAGACCTGAGTTCGATTCTTTGGTGGGGGATATTTTTTTCGAGTATCTCGGTCTTTACCCGGTTATAGAGTTAGGATAGCGATGTGGAGCTTAGCTGTTGCACGCAGTAGAACTGAGTTAGGTTCCCTTGTGGGGAGAAAATGTTTATCGTGTACCTCGGTCTTTCCGCAGGGAAGTTGTATCCCTCTCAGCCCGGGTTGGCCCTAACAGGCAAAGTCGGAAACCCATCTCTAAAATGATTTAAATTGTGTCAATGGGGGCGTAAAAACACGTAACTTGATTTTAAACTGTAACAGTAAGTGGCATGGTTTAGCCTAGAACAGCATAACGACGAATTCTGATAGTTCTCCAAAGATTGTGTCGGTGAATTGTGAACGGTGAAAATAAGAGAAACACGGCCAAATGTATTGTTATGTTGTTGAGTTGTGTTGGTACGATAGGCTTCTCTTATTTTCATTGTCAACAACTAGCTAACAGAAACGCTGTACACATGTAGTGTCACAGTTCAGTACTATGCCAAAGCGTGCAGTTAAAAGCAGTTTCAAGAGATTTACGCGTAAACGTGGTGCCATGGGCTTTGACGAATCTTTCAACTCTGTCGAGGTATTTAAGAGACGTGACCTCTGAATTTAGTGTCCGAGCCAAGTTTGTGATAAATTTTGAAAACTTCCCTACTAATCAAAGTACGAGAGCACCCTATTCAAACCCAGTTTCCTGGCGCTCATATGACCCTATGTAGTTGCGAGCGCGGTAAAACCTCTATAAAAAAACCCACAGTTTATCCGCACCATACTCCCGCCCAGAGACAGAGTGACGCATCTGGACATTTCATGATTTTGAGAAAACAGCCTAAAACTCTTGACACTTATTATATGAGATCAGTCAATTGAGCCACTGTGGGAATTACTTTTTCGAATGTAGATACTTAGTCCTGACGTGACAAAAAAGGATATGGGCAAGGCTAGTCGCTACCTTAGAATTACACAATTCTATATGACACTTTGAGCCATTTTGAGTTACGGAGACCATAGGGTCAGAAACAAAATGTTCTATCTGCTTTATCATAATCATAAAATCGTTCGGAGTCGTTATCATGATATTTCAAAAATTGCATTCAGAAAAACTTGATATGCTGTAAAACAAAAAAAATTGTTAACTCAAATTCCTCAACAAAACTAGGTACTCTGAGCAGATAGAACGTTGTAATTCTAGGATAGCCTAGTGTTACAAACCAGTAAAACTAAAAGTCGATTTCGTCAGATGCGTTGTTCTACCTCGGGACAGCAGAGTAACCAAGCACTATAAAAAAAACAATTAAAACCTGATTTAAAAAACACACCTCAGTGCAAAGCAGTTAGCGCTGAGACGCCCGATACGACATAATATATAACCTTAGTGTCAAGGTGACCTATACTAAGCAAAATTTTCAGAAATGTTGTTTTGATCAATGTCAGGTTATCAAATATTTCTAATTGAGTTCTCCTACTTTTACATAGTTGTGTGCCTCCTGAATCTCCTTACGATCATTACAAAAGCATGGCGTACTCCTCCCACTGACGGCTAGAACTGTCCTAATCTGATCAGACCACTGTTCGCTCGAGCTTCGGACGCATTTGGGTTCTCTTCATCCTCGGAATCTGATGAATGCTCGTCGGATAACGAAGAAGTGTCGTCATCAGACAGGCAGTTTTGTAGGTCACCAAGTTTCCTTTTTCCCTTCTTCTTCTTCCTTTTCCTTCCTCTAGCGACAGGAATACGACCAAACTCATCAAGGGCAGACAAATTTGGGTACCGCCTAGGGAAACTTGGGCTAAGTTCTGTATAACCTTCATTGGGTGGTTCCTGTGGGATCAGCAGTCTCCTCAGCATCTCGAAGCGCCGGTCTAGCAAAGGCTCACGCTTTCCGCCTGTAGACACGTCGGCGTTTTCCATCACCTGGTCAGCAGCATGACCATGACCTTGACTATGACCAGGATCTTCTGTGAGAAGAACGTTTTCAGCTTCACTAGCACTAGTATCCATCGGGACCGAGGTGTTTGAAATATCCGGCTCACTAGCGTCCCTCGTTTCTTTCTCCGGGTTTTCTTGTGAGTTTTCTCCGTTCTGAAGAGTCGGCTCATTTGACGAGTCTGCTTGGTCCCCTGTTGGCAAAGCATGGAAAATTCTTGTAACCCCAGATGATGATTTCTCAACTCGGAAACCGACGCGCCTCTTTGGCTCAAAATGTTGTGTAGAGGTCACTTCTAGATCTTGGCCTTTAGCGGAGACTAAAGAAGGAGTAGACGCTGTGTCGATGGCAGGGAGAGTGTTCGAATTTTTCCTGGGCGTTTCACTTTCAATTTCACTAAATCCATTGATTTGAGGAGAATAATGCTGTTTGTCATGAGCATTAAAACTGGCACTTAAAGTTTTCTTGTTCTTTCTTTTGCGCTTATTTTTAAGTGCACTGCCATTACTTAGACTAATACTGGGCAAGAAACTATTATCATTATTGTCTAAATTGCTATAAAATTCTCGCTCGAATTCTTCATAGTCGTCTGAATGGTGGACTTTGGTAAGGTTTTTCAGAGCTTTGTCCCGAAATTGTCGCTGTTGCTGGAAGGACCTTATGTGCATCTCAAACTCTCGACTGATTTTGCACTGCTGTGACTCCAGGCCTGACAGTTGCACGTCAAGGATCTGGGGAAGAGTAATAGACATTGGACTGTGTTTACAGTTTGGCTACTATGTTTTGGTGGTGTAATGTGTGTGTGTGAGTTTGTGTGTGTGTTTGTGTGTGGGGGGGGGTGTGTGTGAATGTGTGTGTGCTGTGACTCCAG